CTCTCCTCGTTAAATAATCTCGAACACGCTCGTTGTTCCAGAGAATTATCCGATTCGAAACTTTAAGTCGATCGTTCGTTGACACGTTGACACTTATTTTATTGCTCATGAACGATCTTCGTAGGTATTGATCTGCAGGCTGTGATAGGATTATTAAATTGTTATGAAAATAATAATTTATTGAAAAAATTATTTTCAATGTAAAATTTTAAAACATTCTATGCAAAGCTGAGAACAATTTGTGCAAAAAGTTGTTGTCTTTTATCCGAATAACTAATAATTTGCATGCATAATACTTATATCAGAATTATTTTTCCGAACGGCGATATTAGGTTTTGACAAGGTTGTATTTTCGGATAATCCCAACAATTTTGCAGTTAATAATTCTCCAAATTTTTTAATTTTAGGGTATCAGGAGACAATTAGATAGTTTATGAACATATGCTCTGACCATCGGATACGATTACCTGCTGTGACATTGTGAGAGACCCTGGTCTCTAATAGTCAAGCCCCATGAATAATTTATATACAATTCACAACTAAGTACATTTGTTATGACTAGTCATATTATTCAAATTATAATCCAAATTAAAATATCTAAAATATACTATATAAATCAGTACTATTATTTAATATTATTGTCAATACAATTACTATTATCAATACTTCTATTACAGACGTGAAGAGTAATCATCAGACGCATTACTTAAAATATCGGTAGAAGTATGCTTGATACAGCGGATTTCGTTAGAAACACGCGCGGCAATCAACGTGTTAAAGAACAATAGTTAGAGAAGTGTATACACGAGTATACAGTGTACATACATACATGTATACATACATGTATACACAGTACGAATTGTTTCGAATTTCGTACTAGGCGAAAAAATAGGTGAAATATATTAATTTGTGGATATTCAAAGTCGTATCCATCTACGATACAATGGAAAATATCTCGGCGCAAATATACGTATACACAACCGAGAGGCGTCGAAATATCGATCGTTAAAGAATGTTTCCAGAAATCCGTTGAGAAAAAGTCGAACAATAAGTAAGAGGTATACTATGATACATATAATACGAATTATTTCGAACGAATTTCGTACGAGGCTGAAAAATAGGTGAAATATATTAATTTGTATTATTATATAATACAATAATATATAAATATATATATTTATATATATATTGATATTCAAGATCGTATTCATCTATAATACAATCCAATAAAAAAATATCAGTCTTGGCGCAGATACACGTATATACACAACCAAGTTGAAATATCGATCGTTCGTTAAAGAATGTTTCCAGAAATCCGTTGAGAAAAAGTCGAACAATAAGTAAGAGGTATACT